ATAATAATTGGATCATCAATTAGAAAATACATTCTACAACCATACCACCTGAACGTGCCCAATTTCGTCTGATCTCAGAAGCTAGGCAGGGTCAGGCCTGGTGAGTATTTGGATGGAAGATCAATTAACACATACAGTATTTTGACATAACTTTTGGGCGGGGTGGGGGTCTTTTTGAGAAAGTGTTTCACTATGCAGATCAGGCTGGCTTTGAACTCACTTTGCAGCACAGACTGGCCTCAAACTAGCAGTAATCCTCCTGCTTCAGCCTCCTGCTTGCTGGGATTAGGTTCGACATAACATTTTTTAAACAAAGAACAAACCATAGATAATGAAGATATATCAAAAGCCAGCCTTTTCATTTTAGTAGATAAAATAAACTGGTCTTCATAAAATGTAATACCTTTGAGTTCTGAAGGACAATATTTGAAGGAAAGTGAAGACAACTTAAAAGAATAGGAGAAAGACCTTGCAAATCATCCATCTGGTAAGGGAATTCTATCTCAAATATATAAAAAAAACTACTACAACTGAATAAGGCAAATACAGCAATTTAAAAATGAGCTGCAATCAGCACCCAGAAAAACTGAAACTGAACTTAATAAATGCAAATGAGGAAGTTGGTTGTGACAAAAAAAATGATCCTCCTAGACATGCAAAACTTCTAAAAGAACAGTTATCAAAGATGGTTCCAAATACTTAAAGCCAAAATGATAAATACTGGTAGGTAACAGAATCTTAAGAACATGGCGATGCAAAGCTTAGAAAAGATGCTTCTCGTTCTGTACAGTAAGTCTTACAGGAAGAAAATAGCAATAAACAATGTGTAATTATTGTTACTATCCTACTAGACTGTTTAGGAACTCTGTTGTATTGTTATTTTTACTTTTTTTTAAATTAAAAAATTTAAAAAGAAATATAAAAAAAGATGATGGAAAGCACTGTTCAAACTACAAGTTTCTATAAGAAAATAAAATGCCCTAATTATTAGTTGCACTATCATTTTAAAGTTTAATGTACTAAATATTAATTTTACTTTTTAAAATTTTCCTATAATTTGTAACCAACCAAAAGGATTCTTAATATTTTGACAAACTTTTTTCAAAGGTCCTTTTTTTTTCCCCAAAGATCTTTTCTACTTACCTAGACTGCTCTGAACAATTTCAGTTTGCATGTAATTTTTAGCTCCCCAAACTACTCTAAAAACAAAGGCCTGCCTGTATAGCCAGACTGCATTATTTAATCATTCTCAAAAACATATATAAATATAGATATATATATCTCAAGAGCATCAAGAAAATCCAGTAATCAGTAACAAATCTCAAGATGGAAATACACTAGCTTAGTTCTTTCATTGCTTAGTTCAAAGATTCTAAGTTATGATTTACACAAAGAATTTTCTTCTGTTCCTACTTCCCAAACTCTGTTTATAGCTAAGTATTTTCATCAAAACATGAAAAAACTAAGAGTAGTCATTAAAGGACATGTCCAGGGCTGGGGATTTAGCTCTGTCAAATAAGCACCTGCCTGGCAAGCATGAGGTCATGAGTTCGATCCCCAGTAGCAAAAATAAAGAACATGTCCATAATGCCAGACCAGCCTATTATAGACAGTAGGGAAAACTGAACTAGTTCTTCCACTAACATAAACAAAGCTGCCCTCTTCTGAAAAGGGTTTACTTTGGTTGTGTTTTCTGTCCATATAGCTTACATACACTTACTCTGTTCTCAAAGAAAAATATTTCATTTTTTCTGAACTTCTCATTAAGGACATTTTACAAACATCTACATTCAAAGAGACTAGAAGCCAGGCATGATGGCACACGCCTGTAATCCCAGCACTCAGGAGACTGGGGTAAGAGGTTTGCCACAGGTTCAAAGCCAGTCTGGGCTACACAATGAGTCCAAGCCAGCCTAAACTACATAATGAAACCCTGCCTCAAAAATACAGAAAAAGGGGTTGGGGGAAAGGAGACTAGATTCCCATTGCAACACTAGTATAAGTGACAAATTTTAAAACATTACATGTTATGATATAATGTAGTATCCTCACTGGATGGGGTCCTAGATGGGTAAAGGATAAAAGCAAAGAAACTTGAGTGTAGATTTTAGTTAATATTGGTTTAACTATGACAAACATAACACACTAATGTAAATTATCAACAGTGGAAGGTGAATGCAAAGTATACGGATATTCTCTTTACTACCTTTGCAACTTTTCTACAGATCTAAACTATTTTAAAAGTAAATAAATACTGCATACACTTTATCTCATACTAGATTAATGCTGAGATCTTGAGTTTTTTAATCGCAGACACTAAACAGTATCTATAATTTCTATTCCCTAAAGTAGTGTTACTTAAGCTATGTTGTAGGAAACGCTGACTAGCCTAAAAAGGAATGAAGTTCAGTTTTCAGGATCATTTCCATGTTTATAGCTTCCCATAATGAAAAGCACACTAAACTAAGTAAGGGTACAAGACCTGGATTCTAATCCTGCCTTTCTCACTAACCAACTTTTATTATTAACCAATTATGTGCAACCTTTTACTCCTTTTACCCTCAGTTTCTCACTTGCAAAGAGGGCCCAAAAGGACTCAAAGTATGTTTCAGCCATAAAGTCTTGACCTAATTTGAATTACTCTCCAAAATTTAGAGAACGGTAAAAGTAGCTGTTGCACAGTAAAGCAAAATCCTCTTAATAAAGATCATCTGCTGGGTGTGGTGCACAGAAATTGTAATCCAAGGATCTGGGAGGCTGAGGCAAGAGGATCTTGAGTTGGATGACAGCCCAGGCCACGCAGCAAGTTCAAGTCCAGTCTTTATCAACGTATACTGGCTTACAGAAAATACATACGTATTGTACATGCATATAGTTCATCTAATTTTAAATTTCAAGCTATGTGACATTTATTTCTGAAATACACAAGTACTGTTTTCCTTTCTACCAAAATCAAATAATACAAAACTGTATCTATCAGACAGTATAATTCAAAATCTATTCATTTCAAAACAGTGATAAGCTTCTTCTGGATTCATTTGCCTCCCAGTGTGACAGTATTATCAATTATCTAAAGCACAAAAATCAGTAAGACAGAATACAAAATGACCATGGCATATTTAAAACAAGGGTTTCACATTAAATTCCATACCTTAGGAATATTCAATTATCTGCCTAAAATAAACTTTAATTATGCCATGGTTTCAAATGTCACAAATCTCAAACAGCTAAACTGTAATAAATGTTTATATAAACCAGAAAATACTGACTTCTAATGTGTAGTAAATATTCTAATAATTATCAGCAGTTCATTTATAATGTACACTCACTTCCAAAAACTGCTAATACTGTTTAACAAAAGTATGTGTCATTAATATGTAATCTCTGGTCTCTTCAAAATAGTTTAGCAAACTATAATATATAAGGTATTAGAAAACACTGTTTAATGCAATCACAAAATGAAAACTATCAAATTAAAAAAAAACATTTTTATTTCATTTTCATGACACTACAGGTACTGTATTTTTGACCCAGCTCTATCTCTCTTGGGTATTTTCCCAAGAGTAAGAGAATTCATACCACAGCAACATATGCATACATGCCTACAGCAGCACAATTCACAATAGCTAACCCATGGAAGTAGCCTAGATGTCTAACAAGACCAATGGATAATGAAAATGTGGTATATTTACACTATGCAGTATCACTCAGCTATAAAGAAGGATCCATTCAGCTGGGTTTGGCGGCAGAATCCTAAAACCAGCACTAGGGAAGCTGAGACAGGAGGGTCATAGAGTTCCAGGACAGCCTGGGCTATCTAGTGAATTCAAGGTCAGCCTAAATTCCATAATGAGATCCTGTCTCAGAGAAACAAATCATAAATTCAAATCATTTGTAGAAAAATGAATGGATCTTGTGAAGTGGAGAAACGAAACAGATGCAGAAGATTATCACAGGATTCTATTACATGAGAAACCTAAAATATAAATAGTAATATAAGAGAGAGGCGGGGGCTGGGGATCTAGCTCTAGCTCAGTGGTTGAAGTGCTTGCCTGGCAAGCATGAGGTCGTGACTTCAGCCCCCGGTACCAAAAAAAAAAAAAAAAAGGTAAAAGAGAAATAGTAGGAAACAGGAAGATATATTTCTTGGAGGTGGAGAAGGCAATGAGAGAAAAGGAAAGGAAAGAGCTGGAAGGGGAAGGAAAAAAAGCATCAAACTGATCAAGACTCAATATACAGTATATGTACCAATTTCCTAAAATGAATGTAATTATAACATTGCAAACATATGCCAATACAAAAAAAAAAACTATAGGTACTAAGTACAACTCAAAACTCTTCAAAAATATATGGTCCCATTCACAAGTACAGTAATGAGTTAAAACACTAAAATATCAGTTTTAGAATTATCTTTGTTTTGCTCATTAGCGATGCCCAAGAATATTGAACTATTTCCCCAAAGCTGAAATTGCTGAAGATTTTACCACTCATGATACATATACATAATAAAGATTTCACAGACATGCAGAACGTATCCTGAGGCATTACCTTAAAAGTACTAATCACTCATATCAAAGCTTTCCATTTTAGTACAGATTTGAAAATTTTATTGTATTATGCAATGGAATATTAAATCACAGTTCTATAACCCAGTTCAACAAAACTAGAAAAAATATGATTTTTAAGCGGTAAAGCAACACTTTTAATTTATTAACATTTTTGAAATGGTCAAATTTTTAAAGCTTCAGCGTTAATAATTTGAAAGTGTGTGCGCTCATAAGAAATCACTGTATTCAGTCTGAGAAAAGTTGAACACCTTATCTAATAAATCACTTGTTCTTCAATTAGCTTTCATCTTGCCTATGCTTTTAATTTGTCTGCACTGCAGTTTTTCGCTTAAATGAAAAGAAGAAAACACAGGTAAGAATAGTCACGTATCTCTCGTTCTAAACAATTGTCCTCTTGTCGCGAGTTTTCTCCTCCCCCATCCATGTCTGGGAGCGTCTAGAAGGACTGGACTCCCTCAACTTGACCCAGGAGGCCTCTAGGCGCGACCCCTCTTTGGTACCCGCGGCTGACATAAGTCCACGTTGGGCCTCTTCTCCTACCTCCCCCAGCACTTTCAACCCACAGCTTGGAACCGAACCAGCAGAGCCCCACTAACGCGCCCGCGCCGGGGCCACCCGCCACCAGCCGCGAGCGCGCGGCCGACGCGCGAGCACGACCGGCCTCCCCCGACTGCCGCCCCAGGCCCTGGGCATCCGCGCGGGTCCCACCCCGCCCCTGCCCAGTCCCAGACTTTGCTCCTCTGGGAGCGTAGAGCTCAAGAGAGCGCACTTCGGCTTCTCCCACACAATGAGCCTCCGGCCACCAGGAACAGGCGGAGGGGCAGTGCAAGATCCGAGCGGGAAAGCAGGCAACCCGCCCCAGAAACCGACCTGTGGAGACCGCCATCTTCTCCTACAGCCCGACGCAGCCGCCTGAACGCACGGGACGTCAGCGTCACTTCCGGGAGCGCGCCGCTGGGTGCGCATCACTCCAGACTCCGCCCCCCGCGGCCGGCGCCGCTCTCCGAGCGGTGACAGCGCGCACGTGGGGCGAGGAGGTGGGACCCTCGCTAATGCTTGGCTACCTGGAACTCCGCAGCTGTCTCACAGTAAAAATTTTATGGGACGGTTAGTAGGCAAAGTTGAACCGCTTTCTATGAGATAGACCGAAAGGCAGAAGAAACGTATTTAAAAAAACCATATGCAGAAGGAATGTGATCAGACACAGCAGCCACCAACCACGTGAGCGTGTGAACAGAGGTGTGAGGCCAGGGGATGTGCATTGGTTTTCAATGCCCGTAGTACGTTTACAACAACAGGAAAACTCAATAATGCTTCATAGTGATTAAATATTGAAATGATAACAGTTGGGTCAAGCTGAATCACATAAAACGTTATTAAAACAAAAATAACACAAAAAATGGGCGTTGACAAATCTGTGTTGAAAAACTATTCCAAAGGGGGACAGTATGTTTGAAGAACCTCTAAGAACTAAGCAAATTTATTATCTTTTTCTTTCAATATGTCCATAATGGTGAAACATGATTAAAATGTATGGCTAAGCCTTTATCAAAAAGTGTAAGACGAAAATTCTCAAGAAGTATGCCATTTTAAAGATTTTATGTCCCTAGTTTTCAGTGTTGCTACTGTGTAACTCAAGACGCTCAATAGCTGCTGCACAAGTGCAGTAAAAAATTGGAAATCAATATTTGGTACTATCATGCTTGTGTTATAAAAAGGAAAAATGGGACTAAGGATGTAGTTCGGGAATAGAGTGCTTGGTCTAGCACGTGCGAGTCCCTAGGTTCTACTTTAGTACAATACTGCTCAAAAAAAAGAAAAAAGAAAAAATGAGCCCCAAAGAACTGAAATGAAATGACTTTTTTAAGAGCATGCATTTACCAATAGTTTTAAAAGCTGGAATTCTACTGCAGTTGTGACTGCAAAGTTAATGTTGTTTTCATCCCTAGTTTGCATTGCTATGTTAGTCACGATTTTTATATTGCTATAATGGTACTTATAGACTGAAGCTTTTGATTTTTACCATAATCATTATGCAGAGAGGGCTTAATTACTACAGCGGTAGAGATTCTTCTTTCTGTATTGCTCACTGACCCCATCTCTTTACATATCCAAAGGAGAAAAAAAGAAAAAGACTCTCTTGATTGCTGAACATAGAATGTCCTCAGGTTTTGTGTCTCAGCTGATCCCATGTATGCCCCTTAATATGACGTGACACTTAATACTTGTATAGTATAGTTCAGCCTGGTAGTGTTAATCCTCAGAAAACCCCCCGAAATAAGCTGATCAGTATAACAAAACTTTGCTCAGTATGGAAATGAAATTGCAGAAAGAAGCAAATCAAACGATGCCTTGAATGTTAGAATAATCAAGGAAAAGCCCAGTGTTTGAGTACTAAACTGCTTTCTCCTCAAGCTGGCTAGTAGTCTCTATGGAGGTTTGTCATGAAAACAAACATATGTGCAAAACATAGCTCGCTCACTCTCTGTCTCTCTCTCTTATTTTCCTCCTCCCTCCCTCTGTCTCTCATACAGAAAACAATGAGTTGAAGCAGGAAAAGAAGAAAGACACAGGAGAAACCATATAGATTTACGCCACTTTGAAGGAAATAAGGCCCCCTGACTAATGTCCCACCCCTCCAGTTGACAAAACAATTATCCCTGTAGCAGAAGATACTCTCCTCCCAGTTTGTTAGTTGCTCAAGTAATAGTTCTGGTTACAGTTCATGTTACTTTTGTTTTTTAGAAACAGTCACTGTGATACTGACCACTATGATGCGTAACTGGTCATAAGAGCCAATGTCTATCCTAAGAACCAGTCCCCACTATTCTGCCCCTGTACTGCCTGCTAACTTGTCCCATGTGAGCCCTACACCACCAGAGATCAGGGCCTGATGTTTTGGGAATGAACCTGATCAGTGCCCGTCAACATAAATAAATCTGCTTCCAAATCCTGGGTATCATCTCAGTATTTCTGCTTGCTATTGCATCCTTTCTCCCCATGAGTAGATAGATACGCAATTCCCATGAAGTTCTTGTCATTAGTATCTGTGATGAGCGCACCCTAATATCCCCTTTGTCCCCTGTGACCTACACTTTCTGGAGTTTTCGACCCTATGGGATCCATCATCTCTCTTTGAGTGTCAGTGAGAACCGTGACTTTTCTTTAATCGACAACTTGCTAAAGTAATAGGAAGACACTTCTGCAACTGTGGTACATGTTATCTGAATGCCCGTGCTGCAAGGAAATGCAAGGGTCTGAAACTGCTGTGATGCAAGTTTACTTTGGAGAATGACGTGGGACAAGACACTAAAGCCAGGCTCTAGCCAACACAGCCAGCAAGAAACCAAGGATCTCAGTGTAACAGTCTGCAAGGAGTCAGCATAAATTTGGTGGTATTATACCCCTCAGTTGCTAACGCTTGGAAATCTTGGAAGCGAATCCCACTTCCCTCAAGCCTTGAGATCAGACAACAGCTCCTGAACTGGCATCTGGACCACAGCCCAGCCAAGTCTAGACTCCTGACTCATCGACGCTGTGGGAGAATAAACCTGTGTTCTTTAGTCCCCAAGGTTGTGATAACTGGCTCTGCAGCAAAGTGAAACAGCAATCCTACAGTAAGCCACTGCATTTTAACAGCTCGGGTGAATCTGATTTCCTCACAAGGAATCCTGAGAATTTCTCTAATCGGTATGAGGAGGAAAGCTCTATTACCAGCAAACTATTAAACTTTCTCCAAGGTTTTCTTCTTCATTTTACTGACTTGACTAGATGGCAGTGGCTTTGCAGCTCGCCTGTCCTAAATGTCTGTTTATTTTTAAAATTAATTTACCTTTTTATTTATTTATTTTTCTCTTTTTATCGGTACCGGGGATCGAACTCACGACCACCTGCTTGCAAGGCAGGTGCTTATGCCGCTGAGCTAAATCCCTAGCCCCTAATTTACCTTTTTATTGGTTATGCAGATTAATAGATTTCATTGTGGTGTATTTGTACACGCACATAATATTCTTCATTTTTACCCCTCCCCATCATTCTCCTCCCCTGCTCTACTCCAGCCTCTTATTTGGGAGGTTCAGTGTATATATTTTGCTAATATATATCCCCATCCTTACATGCTCTCCTTCCCCTATTATCCCTCTCCTTTTGTTTAATAATAGTCTCCCTTCGATTTTCTTGTCATCTTTTTAAAGTTCCACATATTAAAGAAAACATGCAATTTTTGTCTTTTGGTGTCCGGTTTATTTCACTCAACATTACATTCTCCAAATCCATCCATTTCCTTGCAAATGACAGAATTTCATTCTTCCCTGTGGCTGAATAATGCTCCATTGTATGTGTATATTACATTTTCTTTATGGATTCACTTGTTAATGGGCAACTACACTGCTTCCATATCTTGGTTACAGTGAATTGTAACAAGAAAACATGAGTATTATCTTGCTTACTTTTCTCTCTTTGTTGAGACAAAATACCTGGTACCTAGGGAAGGAAAGGTTTATTTAGCTTACAGTTTTTGGAGGTTTCAGTCCATACCTGACTGGTTCCTAGACAGAATGGTGTGGCTAAGGAGCAGCCTTGCATGGCAGCCACAAGCAACAAGAAAGAACAGGGTAAAAAGGGGGAAAGCACGCCTACTTCCCTCCCTTATATTGCGTGTAGATTACCCACCCCTGGGCAGGTGCTGCAGTCACACCACCAATCCCAGCGCTAGACAATAAACCAATCACAAACACTAGATTCAGCCACTGTAGAAAGACTTACCTTCCATGACCCCATGAGGCTTTGGTGGGATATTTAAACAAACCACAGAAAGTATGCAGGTGTCCCTATAGTATGCTGGCCTTGTTTCAGGGATAGTATTTTTTAAACACTGCATTCATTATGTCCTTTCTGACCAAGTAAACGTGCACTTGCTCTTTCATTTTATTTGGATTTTGTCTACCACCTGGTTGGCAACATGTTTCATACTAACTGTCAATTCAAATCAGTGCATAATTGTTAGCTGAAGAAACACTTCTCAGGCTTCCATAAAGCTCAGCAAAAAAAAAAAAAAAAAAAAAGTGCTTTCATCATGTGTTGCTGTCAGTCAGAGGCAGTCACAGCAAAGCATTTCAATTTACCAGCCTGGTCAGTCATGTGATATCCAAAGCCCTCCACCTGGCTTTCGCCACCCACCAGGATCCCTCCTCTTCCAACCTATCACACGCTGTCACTCATCCCTTTCCAGTGAATGCCTGTGGTATAATGAAGTATATTCCTGCTTTCTTTGCAGGATTCTTTCGTATTACTGTTTTTCTTCTCCTTTCATAAAACTGTTGTAGTTCTTTTAGTATGTATTAAGGATTTAATATAGCAAAAAACTAATAACAAAATAAAAGCCTAACATGTTTTGATTGTAAAAATCTGTTTGTTTGTTTGGAGCAGGGTTTTGCTATGTAGTACAGGCTGGCCTCCTGCCTCAACCTTCCAAGTGCTGGGTTTACAGATGTGCACCAGCACTTCCAGCTCATTTTAATCCATGTTAAAATTTGTATTTAGATGTCCCCCCCAAAGCCTCATGCACTGATAGGTGAGGCTTTTCAAAAATGCTGGGATTAAGGGTATGATGCTGAGGTTAAGGGTGCCCCACCCTGGGTGTGAATGGTAAAACCCAAAGGCCTGGGTGTAATACAGAGACAGAAAGAGGGCTGGTTCTGCTGTTTCACTTGCTTGCTGCTTGTGCTTGCTGCTTTTCTGTCTGTGTGCTTGCCATGGACTGTTTCTCCTCTGTGATACTCCTCTGCTGCTACTATGCCTTGGACTTAGCTGACTATGGACTGAAATCTCTGCAAACTGTGAAATATAATGAACATTTCCTCTTTTGCGTATTAGATATTTTGTCTCAACAAGAAAAGTGAATAAGACAATCTGCTTGAGTTTTGATCCACACAGTTGTGTGGCACCAACAACCAAAATTTCATGGAACTTGTTGCTAATAGAAATCTCAGTTCTGTGGCTTAAATATACTCACAGGGTTGAGGATGTAACTAATATTAGAGTATGTGTGGGGCCCTGAATTTGAACTCCAGCACCACACACACACATACACACAACCCTCTTTATTTACCCTAAGAACTCCTCTGTCTCAACATGTTAATATGCTCTTCTCCTGTTTAAGACAAAGTCTAACCAGTTTAAGTGTCTAAAGTTTAGCTTCCTCCACGTTCATTATCGCTTCCCTGTGTACAATGCAATCTAATATTGCAATGTCATCCAGCTATGGAATCGATGTTTCATTTCCAGAGCTCAGCTTACTTGATCTGCCTGCAGCTTATACAATAAGGGACTATTTTGTTATATGAAAAAACAAATACTATTTTTTGATGTTTTGAATACATCTACATTGTGCAATGCTACACTGAATTGACTAATATCTGCACACATAGCAAGTTTGAGGTGAAAATCCTTAAAATTTAGCAACTTTCAAAATACAATATATACTGTTATTAATTATAGTTAACTACATTATAGAATGGGAGTCTTGAATTTATTCCTCCTAAATGAAACTTTATATCTTTATATCTCTGACCAAAGTCAAAGGGGACCTAATCCCCAGCCTTAACCCCAAATGCCTGGTAACCACTGTTCTATTCTTGACTTCTATGAGTTCAGTCTTTTTAGAGTCCAAATGAGATCATGGATATTTGTCTTTCTAAGCCTAGTTTATTTCACTTAGCACCATGTCCTCAAGAACCATTCATGTGGTCACAAATTACAGGATTCCATTATTATACTTTCTTTTTATTTGTGTATTTAAGCTATACAGAATAGGGACTTAATTTTGGCATATTTGTACATATATAACATACCTTATATATGTACAGTACTTATTTATGTCCAATACTATATATTTAGCATACTTCAATAACTTTCATCCCATTGCCTCCCCTTTCTTCTTTCCTTCTCCCTTCTCCTCTGAACCCTGCTCTTCTAATAGTAACCTTTTTATTTTTTATTTTCGAGACAGGGTCTCTCTATTCAATTCAGGCTGGCTTGAACTCACTATGGAATCATGACTGGTCTGGAACTCATGGAAATCTCCTGTCTCAGCTTTCTGAGTGCTGGGATTATAGGTGAGTGCCACCATGCCCAGCTAATAGTCTCCCTTTTATGTCCATGAAATTTCTTTTAAAAAATTTTTAGAGTCTACATATAAGAGAAAATATTCAATATTTGACTTTCTGAGTCTAGCTTATTGTGCTTACCACGATAATCTCCAGTTCTACCTATTTTCCTCAAAATGACATGAGGTTGTCATTCTTTATGACTGAATAATATTCTATTATAAATATATATCACATTTTCTTTATCCACTCATATGTTGATAGGTATGTACGTTGTTTCTATAGCTATTGGGAATATTGTGCAATAAACAGAGGCATGAAGGAAGAAATCTGCTGACTTTAACTCTTTCTTCCTTTTCAAAGCTTGAATAGAGTGCTATTATGCATATTTATGCCACATTTTCCTTATCCATCATACTTCAATGATCACTTAGGTTAGTCTATACCTTGACTACTATGACTAGTTCTGCAATAAATGTGGGAATGTAGATAATTATTTACATACTGATTTTATTTTACTCAGAAGTGAAACTGCTGGATTACTTGGTACTTTTGTTTTTAATTTTTTGAGGTACCTCCATCCAGAGTTTTCCTTAACGGCTGTGCTAATTTGTATTCCACCAACAATCACAAGTTTTTGCGTTTCTCTACACCCTAACCAGTACTTTTATCTTTTTGGTAATAGTCATTCTAACAGATGAGTGATACAGCATTGGGTTTTTAATTTGCATTTCTCTGATGATTAATGATATTGAGCATTCTTTCATAAACCTGTTTGTGATTCTTCATATATCTTCTTTTGAAAAATGTCTCTTAAGGACAATTGTCTTGGGGGAGGTTTCGCTGGGATCAAACCTAGGGCACAGTTCATGCTGTACCACTGAGTTACAACTTCAGACAGATGATGTCAATTTTTCCATTCAGTTTCTTTTGCTATTGAATTATTTGTAGTCCTTATCTGTTTTGAATATTAGACTTTAATCAGACACAGGCATATGGTTTGCAAATATTTTCTCTCCTGTTTTGTAGGTTTTTGTTGATTGCCATAGTTTTCTAGTGTTTAAGGGTATCTTGAATTCATTCAAATTAGGTGTGGTAAGGCAAACAGACATGATAATGACTGAATGAAAAAAGTCTATTCTCACTGAACTCTAGAAATAGGAGGTGAGACAATTCATGAAGGGTCGCCTGAGGAAGCTCCAGGACTGGTCAAGAGGCAGAAGGAGTGAAGGAGATGTGGGGAAAGGCTTTTATTTATTCTTCACTTATTTTAAGTTGATTTTGTGAAGAATATAAGTTATTTTTTAAACATCCTAGAATCTCACTGAAGGAGTTTATAAGAATTGATTTTATTATGTGTGATAGCATGAACAACTACACTGAAGAAAACAAGACATCATGGTAGCCACTGCTGATTTCCTATCATTTTGTTTTGAAGTCCAATATTGCTTTTATTCTTGGTTTTGATAGTTCTTAGTCCATTTTCAATTATTTGATTTCAATGTGTATGAAGGTATGGACAGCTATTTTGAAGAGATCAAGAGACATTATGATAGCCATTATTGATTTCCTAGTGTCTGGTTTTGAAGGCCCATAAGGCTCCAATTCTTTTGTTTTGATTGCTTTTATACTCTGTTGTTTTGTAATAACTTATTTTGTATGAAGGTATTGGCAACTATTTTGAAGAAAACAAGAGACATTATCATAGTCACTATTGATCTCCTATGTCTTGTTCTGAAATCCTGTGTTATTTGCATTGATTT